TTTCACAGGAGAATAATGCCCAGCTGGGAGGGAGGGAAGGGGTTACGAGGCCTGATGCTAAATCCCTGTGGGCAAGAAAGCCTGGATGGATCTCTGGATGTATTCCTGTGTGTGTATGTGACAGTTGAAGGATACCAACTTATTTCTTGTCTGTGCTCTTACAGTGTATATTCACTGCTTTATTGGAATTGCAAGACACAAATTGGCTGCAGTTTTCGGTCGCCCAGTGCCCCGACACCGGTGCTGTGCTCCCCCCATGCAGGGTCTGACACCCACCCTGCACATGGAGCAGCTCTTCACTCATCATCCCCCGAACCAAAGGCCAGCTCTGTTTCCAGCAGCAACGCCGGAGCAGAAGGCAGCAGCAACACCTTCACTTCCCACTTCCCAGCCTCTAAAAATGGCATTTTTAGCACTTGTACCACAGCGACCCAGAAGGTGCTGTTGCGTGAACGACCCCACACAGGTCACAGCTGTGACTTCATTTTTTCCAAGATCTCTCTCTTTCCTGGTGTTCTGTGCACCAGGGAAATACAGCAGGCTAAAAGCTACAAGATTTTTTTTTTTTTTTTTTTTTTTACATACCACAGTAGAAACAGTTACCGAGTTATATTTGTCAGAGTCACAGTAGTTTATGCATATTTGCTATTCACAGACTGCAGAATATTGCCAATAACCTCACTGGTGGGGACTGACAACACGGATACATGCATTCAGGTGAGACCATTAGCAAGGATGTCTATACTGTGTTAAGCACATTCATTTTTTTTTTAAACACCTTCCAGTAAAATCAATTCCTTTAAATTTGTAGTTAAAACTTTTTTTTTTTTTTTTTGTTTCCACAATTACGCACAAAAGAACCTGTAAACAGTTTGACATTACACTTATGTACAAGTGAACCACGTTGGAAAGTCGAGAGGTAATTCAGTGGGTGCCACTTAATCTACATCAATGTGCAACAGACTGACTCAGCCTCAGCAAAGTCATTAAGTGCTGTATGAGGTCCGAAAATGTAACGTAAGCAAGGCCCCAAGAGATCACATCACCAAACCCCCTCTGCACCCCGTGTTGGCTGGGACAATATTGCACTGGCAGCACCTGCTCCTCTGTACAACCCCAAATGCCTTGGGGGGACCTGGTCCTGCCACCTCCCTGGGGTTGGGGATGGCCAGAAGGGACCACAAAGGGCCCCCAGGGAGGACATCATTCCCCTCAACTGCAACGCCCACCCGTTCAGCCAGCTGGGCCCTGTCACCCTCCTGCTTCACCTCAGTAAGTTTTGTCTGTGTAACTCTGAATTCTGCTTTTTCGTGTTTGCTTTAGCATTGCTATAGTTTAAAATCTGCAATATCCTATTTATAAACGGATCTCTTAGCTAAGTGACATCGATAATGCCAAGAAAAATAAAGAATGTCTTTTTATAATATAAATAATTTAAAAGTGCTTTTTCTGTTTTTTTTTTTTCTTTTCTTTTTTTTTTTTTTCTTTTACTATTAATCTACAAAACCCCGTTGGGGCATAAACTATCCATAAGACTGGACAATTATTTTGTACCATGATACACATGGGGCCTTATGCATAAAGTATTCTGAAAGTCCATACTTGCAGTGGTGGGAAGGGCTTTGGGGAGGGTAAGGAGCTGGAAAGTTTCCTCCAGCCTTTCTAGGGCTGGGAGATCAGACTGGGACACAGCAGAAGGGCTTGGTTACATGATGGCCATTTCCAATAAACCCCAACCTTGTCTTCTCCTTCAGCCCGCAATTTGAAAATGAAATTAATAAATGGACTCACCAAACCAGAATTAAACCCCCAAAATGTTCTCCAGAGCACTGTGAAGCCTCTGGACAGTGTGTGCAGATGGTAAAATAATTTGGTCCCCGTGGGTCTGTGTAAACAGACACATTCTCCCTGTGTCTCCCCCTGACGCTCTGAGTCCTGCTCTGGTGTCTCAAGGTGTTTGGGCACACAACAAACCCCTTGGAAACTGGGAATTCTGCCCGTGAGAGGTGGAAGCTGTTGTGGGCACCGGGACAGGCGGGATGTGGGTGGCTGTGACAGGAGCTGTGTCACTCACCCTGTAGCCCACAGGGGCAGGGGGTGCTCACCACGCTCCCTCCCCAGCGCCCTAAGCTAAGTTTAATCAAGACTAAAGACCAGGCCATGGTATTTGCAGGCTGGCTGTGCCACACCATCCCTGAACAACTGGACCTGTGCCACACGTACATGGATGTGAATGTTCTTATTCATCCTCACTGGGTCAAGTGCCCATTTTTCTTGAGAAAAGGTGTTTTATGGGAGTCTCAGTCCCACTGAAGTCAACGTAAGTTTTTTTGTTAATTTCAACAGAACTTATATTTGGTCTTTGTTATGTGTGGAAAGTAGCTCAAAGTCCAGTTTGCCCCCAGATATTTTAGAAAGAATGAAGTACTCTGTGAACTGAGTTCAATTTTGGCTTGCTACCAGAACTGTCCTAGGGAGAAACATGGGTTCTCTCACTGAAACAAAGTAGAATTGAGTAGAATATATTTTAGAGCCTAAAACCCAGCTGCCTTTCTGGCAACCTCATTCCAGTTACCTTTTCTCCTCTGAAATACCTCGTCTCCATTCTTCCCTTCATGGGCCCATTTCCCTGCACAGCCCCAAGGAAAAGTCCTGGAAGGAGGAAGGTGCCGGACACACCGAGCATGGACTGCATTCCCCTCCTCCTGCTGAGCTGGCCATAGGCTTGGAGGTACCACTTTGACACACACCTATTGCAGGGATTTCCTGTCCCTGAGAACAGTGAGAGGTGCCCACCCCAGAGGGGAGGGAGGAGCAACCTTGCCAAGAAGGCATTGGCACCTGCCTTTCATCCCAAGGAGTGTGATTGTATCTATCCAACTATATGGAAATATGTATAGTTTTGTGCCTCCTTATGTCCATGGTATTATTTTTGGCAATAAGTATTCCAGAGTAAATGTCGCCTTCCTGCCACCATCCTGGTGCCTACAGAAGGTTTGGTTGCTCTTTCCTGATCCACTGCCACACAGCTGAACTATGGGGCCATCATGGAGCAGCATTTTTCATTCCCCTGGTCCCTATCTCTACCTGCCCACGTTTTTTCCACACTGTTGCTGGATGCTTCCATCCCCTGCCCCTGCTCCAGTGGTGGCCGAATGAGGTGCCCCAAAGGTGGCTCTTTGAGGGGGTCCCATGGGACAGTGGTGGTGCAGAGAGAGCAGTGAGTGAGGAGGGAGAGAAAGGGAGCTCTGAGCAGCATCCACACAGCTCTGACTCTGCTGGGGAGAAGTGACAGCCCTCCCACCACCACCCAGGGCTCCTGTGTTCCACCTACAGCCCACCAGTCACTCTGAGCAGCACAAAACCTGGCAGCACAGCCCCAGCTCTACACAAGCCACTCATAAAACAACCACACATGTAGTCAGACCAGAACAAGGTCCCTTAGTAACGCAGCAGAGCACATATGAACGCACACACACATAAGAGCCCCACGTCTGGGCACTGCCCTCCTCCAACCCCATCTCAAATTGGGTTTCCCAGCAGGTTTGGCCTGCCTGTGATTACTGAAGTTTAAGACCTTTATTTCTGTAGCACTGGAGAGTAATAACCATTTCATCTCAAACTGGAGACATGAAGGCCACATAAATCAAGCCCGCTCAGGCGCATTTCATTTCGTCTAATTTTTCCACAGTTATTAATCATTGAGCAATCCTGTGTCCCCTGAACATCAGCCTGGGAACACACACACGCACACACACACATCCAACGCCTGTTCTTCCACTCTGGCACATGCAGTTTACAGCCCAAATATTTGTGATATTAAAAAGAGACTTGGAAAGATCTGGATTGAAAGGACAAGGTTTTAGCTCCAGTCTGCTGCCAAGGAATCTGAGTGACCTGTCCCCAGCCCCATCCTCTGCTGGAAATCCTGAGGAGAGCCCTAGCTGTTTCCCGATTTTCCTTGCTTGGTGCCAGAGCCGGGGGGACAAGGTGTGGGAAATGTTGAGCAGGAAAAGAAAAATGCAATAAACTAACCATGACATAACTAAGCAGGGTCAGATCTGTGGATCTTGTGCAAAACACTGATTTCTGTGGGAAAATGTGCCCTTTGAGCCTGTAAGTGGAGGGCGGCACAGCAGCCAGGCCTGAACGCCAGCATGACAGAATGTCCTAAAACCTGAACTTGTTCTAAAGCACAATCCTGGGAAATCTCTGAGTTTCCTCACTGAGCATTTCCCAGCCCAGAGCCTCTCCTTCCCAATCCTTGGTACCAACACGGTATGCCAGATGTCAGGAATGGCACCTTTTCCATATACAATCTCTACAGAGGTGATAACCAGCTGCCACATCAAAGCCCTGTTCTCCAGCAACCTGGAGATGTATTGCTGGAATGGTTTCCCCCTCCCCACAGCCAGCTCATGCTTATGGATCCCTCTGGACAAGTATTGCTTCCTATTTTTGCTGGTAAAATGTGCATCTTCACCAAAACACACCTTGTAAAGACCTCGCAGTTCTCTACCAAACCATTCTGTGCAGCCCGGCACGATGGAACCCCAAAGGAAACAAGATTCCATCCTGCTGGAACTGTACGAGGATCACAGAGAGAACCAGTGCAGACAGGACAGCATCTCCCACAGCAGCCTCTGGAATTTAGTAGGGGGAAGCCCTCGAACCTGCAGGATGCTAAATAAGTCAGAATCCAAGTGCTCTGTGCTACCAGCACTGTCACTGTCCGTAGTTTTTTCTATGCATATAAAATCTTCTTCCTGTGCCTTCAGAAAATGAAAAATATATCCCAAATCCTCCAGCTGGTTTGTTCCCAGATATGGCCAACACAGGCTAGTTGGAGCAATTAAGTTTCCATCACTCTCCATGGTTTCCTTCCCTAGCAGCCTGAGTCCCCTGAGCCGAGCCCCCCCCCAGCATTCCCCTGCTCCAGGTTTGGCTCATCCCATGCCTTTACCACCTGCCAACCCCATCGACGCTCTCCAGTTTGTGCTGCCACGCTCAGGCCCCAGCTGCCCTTGGCCCTTCTGCACCCCACAGACCCCCCTGCTCCTTTGCCCCTTGCTCCCACACCCCGTGGGTCAGAGCAGGACCAGCCTTTCCCACGGCTCCAGGGGTGACACAGCACACACAGAGCAGTTTGCTGGTTGTCCCACCACAGAATCTGTGGGATGGAACACAGGTACCTCCTGGGGTTGTACTTTCTCTCGACACACACCTGCTCCCTCCTCCAACAATGGATCCCCACACGCAGAGCACCACCAGGCTGGCTGGGCGGGTGATTTCTGTGGGTGCTTCCATGCTGGATGGGACACAGTGCCCTCTGTCCCTGCCAGCTGGGATAGACACTCCTGGCACTTGTGCCTGGCATCCACAGGAACTAGCACAGCCACTCCATACACAGCCATGGAACCAGCCCTACAGCTTTGCAGCTGGGATCAGCACACCTTTAACCCACTGGCACTGGAGAGCCTTGAGGAACACAAGAGGTGTGGGGAGGACACAGAGGGACAAGACCATCCAGAACAAATGGGAGTATTTTGCTGATGGCAACAAAGAACCACAGACTGCACCCTGGTCTCCACTGAAACACATTTACAGTGTCTCAGAGCAGGGGTAGGGACAGGGAGAGGGAGCAGGGGAGAGACAGTGAGATGGATTTCTACTGTTCAGCCCTCAAAGACCTGGAGAAGAAACAGAACATCCACAGACAGCTAAAAAATGCTCTTTTCTGAGAAAGTGCAGTTATGAGGAGAGAGCCAGAAAATCTTTAAGCAATATATATTGATATATATATATAGAGATATATATACATATATATATACACAGAGATATATATACACACATATATATATGCACATATATATATATACACATGCTTAAACTGCCACAGTAGAGCTTGGGGCTTTGCACTGTGCACCTCCCTCCAAACAGACGAGCTCCGAGGAAGACACAAAGGGCACGGAGCTCATATCCCCCTGACCTGCCTGTTCCCAGGCCACGCTCCCACGGCACTGGCAGCCACATGCAACCATCCCTTGGCATGGGGCTGGTTGTGCCCTTAAGGTTTTCAGCTTGTGTAAGACTCCGAGTTTACAAACGAAAGCGTTTGTCATTGTGCTTCCAGGACTGCAAAAAATATGGTTACCCTATGACTAGAAATGTTAAGGTGAAATAGGCAAATTAGGCAGTACTAGAGATGTGTTTTGGTTTTGGTGACCTAACAAATAATTATTATTGGGAATTATTTTTGTATCAATTAGGATCTGTCTCTAATGTAATAAGGTCATGTGCTCTCCCCACCCTGAGCCTAAAGGTGGTACTTCCGCAGCAGTTCAGATTGCCAGGGGTGTTTCCTCTCGGGAAACCTGTCTGGGATTTTGATTTTGAGGAAATCCTGGATACATTTTTCCAGCTCCTCCTCAATGGAGAGCTTCTCCTTCACTGCTTTTTTCTTGCTGGAGTTGGACTCGCGGGAGCCGGAGGTGAGAGTCCGGAGCAGGTCGCTCTTCCTGCGGATCTCGGACTGCTGCAGCAGCTGCACGGGGCCCTTCTTGGCCGGCCGGTCCAGAGTCTGTATGTTGGTCTGGCGCGTGACGGGGCCGCAGATGACGGTCTCCTGGGGGGAGCTGGCCTCCGACTGGCTGTCGCAGCTTGACGTCGACAGCTCATTGCAGGACGTGCCGCTCTCGCCCTCCTTGTCGCCTTTGCCGTTCTTGCAGCAGCAGTCGCAGTGGGACGAGGACCACCGGGAGGGCTCACCTGCAAGAGGAACAGAGAGTGCCTGGGGTGACCGACAGCTCCAGAGTCCCACCCACACTCAGGACGGGCTGCTCAGCCCTGCTGGGACCGCAGGGGCCGGGATGGACACAGGCAGCTGGTGCCACAGGAATCCTTGCAGGGAAATTCCCTGAACGTCACCACAAACTGCCAGCAAACCCTCCACCCAGTCCCAAGCAGGAGCTGATTCCTATTAACCCTGGAACTCCTCCATCCATTCTGCTGGAATGTGCTGCTCGATATCCAATGTGGGTCTGAAAATTTTCTGAGATCCTCAGTAAGAAACCACCACTCAAGGATCCATGTTTAACCTGAGTGACCACTGACAGAGCACCCAGTTTCTCCAGACACCATTTCTTCCCTGAGGCTCAATAGCTGAGCCAGATGGGGCTGCCAGATGGTGCAGACAGCACTGTCAGCCTCCGTCCTGGTGGGCATCACACCCCAGCATTCCCTGGCCCTCCCCAAACCCAACACTGTGGATGTCCCACCTCCCCCAGAGCAGTCTCCCCACACATGAGGGCCTGGTCACACACAAACCAGAGGCTTTGGGGAAACACAGTCCTTCATTTGCATGACCTCGGTGATGGAACCCCAGGGCAATAACTATTTCCTGATTCATGCGGCGCATGGATGGAATTTTTGTTTTTCAGCTGGAACCCTGCCCAGCCGCAGTAATCCGTGACAAAGGGGAGAGCTGGCACCGCTAACAACTGCTCCCTGACCACACCACAGTCATCACGGAGATAAATGTCATTTGGAAGCATCCATCTTCCCACTAAAACGGAATTACCATTCCCAGCTCATGCAGAGTAGTAGCATCATCCAGACCAAGAGAAGCATCACTAAGCTTTGCAACATCAGAGCAGCACTGCAGGCCCTGGTCTCACCTGTGACCCAGAGTCCCACTGCAGCCCCATCCACAGAGTCACACCCCAGTGCTGAGGGGTCTCTTATAGCGGGACAAGGGGCAGGGGATGGGATGGTCTGGTCAGAGCCACAGCACTGCCCTGTGGTTTGCAGCAGTGACACACAGTGCCAGGGTCACAGCCTTGCCAGAGCTCCAGTGGAGCAGTGGGAGGTGAGGCCAACAGGACAGTTTGGTGTCACCACTCTAGACACAGACCCCCATCAAAAAAGGGGGGAAAAAAAAAAGAAAACTGCCGATTTGCAGCTCCTGAGCCCAAGGAGTAGAGCCTGGAGTAAGGGGCCTGTGAGCTCATGGTAGTTACAAAGCCACTGACAGTCACTGCCCTGCTCTTCTGTGTCTCCATCTTTTCTCAGCTGGGAACACAAAGCACGTAATTTACAGGAACAGGCAGAAAAATAAAGTCACCAAGCCTCCTCATCTCCTCCTTTCTCTTCCTTGTCAATGATGAAGGAGTCTCTCAGTCTGTGAGCTGTGGGGCTACATCTAATTTACAGACTCGCTTCAATTCTGTCCTGTATCTTGTCTTAAAACAGTCAATAATGGCTAAATTGAAGATTTTTATCATTTGCTGGGCTTGGACAAAGGCACCATGTACCAAGCCCGTGTAAAACCCTAGTCATGCATGCTCTGAGAACACTTCCAGGAGCTGTGTGGATTCCAGCTCCTTATTGCAGCCGACATTCCAGCTCTATGAGGGTTTTTCTGATGGCTGCTCCCTGCGAGGGCTGGCTCCGGAGCTCTGCCCTTACCAGACACAGAGTGAGTGATTCTAGCGAGCAGCCACCCCTGCTTGGAAGGCAAAATCAATCAGGTGGAAGCAGTGAGTGTTTTTGTGGCCAGCCCTGGGGAGCAGGTTGGTGTGGGAAGGGAGAGTCTCTATCCCAGCAGCTCCTGCTCACCCCCTGTGAGCACTTCTGCTCTTCTCACCTGTAAAGCAGTGATTTTCCCCATGCTGCCTCTGTGCATTTAAGGACAACAGTGAATCCTAAAAGAGGAACCACATTTGACAAGCAGCAGTGCTGCCAGAAGCTCTTTCCCAGCATGTTTTTCCTCTGGACACTGTCTCCCTCCTTCCTGGTGGACAGCAGGACCAAGCTCGTGGCAGCAGCTTGGGGGGTGCTTGCCTGCCCCAACACCGGAGTGAATTGCTCCTGCTGCCCTCGCTGCTGACCCCTCACACCAAACTGAATGAAGTCTGAGAAACAACGAAAAATTAACTGGGAGGGAGAAGGTTATTGCTCAGGTCGGTTCCCATTAGCACGGTGTAACCTCCTCCCACCTCCCACTGCCAGCTCTGAGCGTGGCACTTCTCGGTGCCCTCCTGACAGCTTCCCAGCCAATTCACAGGGACATTCAGCCAAACCACATCCCACAGCAGCAGGACAGCCCATGAAACCCACAGGGCTGTGCTCAACCAGCCAAGGAACAAAGCTCCAACACATGCCTTAAGTACCCAAACAGCCCAAATTGATCATCAGTCAATGAACATCAGCCCCAGCAGTGGCACAGGACATTGCTGTAATCATCCAGTGAAACTCTGTATGTCTGCCCCCATGTTCAGCACATGCTCAGGTCACAGGCATGCTTCTTCCAGCTGTACCTTCACGGCTGTCATACAATCCCAGAATGATTTGGGTTGGAAGGGACCTTAAAGCTCATCTCATTCCAACCCCCTGCTCTGGGCAGGGAAACCTTCCATTATACCAGGTTGCTCCAACCCAGCCTTGAACAACTCCAGGGATGGGGCAGCCACAGCTTCCATGGGCTGTGGGGAAGAAGAGATTCAGCCACCTGTGTCCTGGCCAGACCCAGCTCAAGGATGGTGGCTTGGGCAGAGGAACCCACCAGCTGCCATCAGGCACAACTACAGTATATACTTCACTATCACAAAACAAGGCTTTTATAAGTCAATTAAGACCTAATAGATGCTAATTTCTGTTAATGAATATTCACAAACCCTGAGCATACCACAGGTGAACCGGGAGGCAGAAACTCATCTATTCATGAGGCAGAACTGCAGAACCCAGGTGAGGTGAGGTCCTGGGAAGAGCCACAGGGTTTGGAGAGGCTCCCTGGGCAGAGGCCTCCCCTGGCACCAGTGCTCAGTGAGCTGGCCTGGGCCAGCTGGTGGGGAGGGGGCTCATGGGACTGCTTGTGTCCAGCAGCAGGTGCTCTGAGCACACAGAGATCTCCAGACCACTGGGAAATGTGAAAGCCCAGCTAAGATGCTGGTGCTGCAGAGAGAGCTCCATCCAGGGAGCTCCTTCTGCACCCTGAACTGCTCCTGCACTCTGAGAAAATCACGGGGCAGAGGTGAACAGGTTTCTTTTTATTAACCACAAACCCCACACACTGGGCCACTCTCTCACACTGCCCAGCAGGAGCCTTTTGATTAGAGAAAAACCTCTGCCAGCGTCAATTTTTTCCTTTGGGCACCATTTTGCCATGAAATAAACAGTTTTGCTGGAGCCCCAGGAATAATCTCAGTGCCACAGGTGGGAGATTTCACTGTGTTTGGGTCTGGGTCAGCAGAAAACATTTGTTCCCTATGGGAAGCCATCAGTGTTCAGTGTGCAGGGGATGTGCATCTCCTGGGCTGGGGGATTTGCACAGCTCCCAACAGTGTATATCTACCCAGGATGGGTCTCCTCACCCCAGATTTGAGTGCTTTCAGGGTGACAGACAGAACCAAAAGGAAAAAAAGAACTATTTCTCTGTGTTTTGCAGTGAGAGACAAGCACCTGCAGCAGCATTCACCCTGCAGGACCCAGGGATGGGCAAGGAGAGGTGCTGAGCCTGAGCCTGGCCACGACTCCGGCACAAACCGAGCATCGTGCTCATTTAACCATCGAATTCATTAATTAATGTCTAAATGCTTTGAGATTCTTAGATAAAAGTGGCTAATTAATTCTGGCCTGGCTTTCCTACTTTCCTCCCTGATCTCAACACATTTCTCTCCCAGTGCCCTAATTATAATTATTATTATTAGAAGCTTCTGAAGCAGCAGCAAAGCTTATGATGTATAATTGACACACAAACCATCAGCCATCCCGTTTCCCCCTTCTCCCCCTCCTTCCCAACAAACACATCACAAGGAAGGAACAGGAAATCTCCATGCAGTGGACAGCTGCTGTTAGAAAACAGAGAAGCAGAGAGGAGTGGGATATAAACCAAGATTAGCACAGGACCTTAAAACCAAAGTTAACAAGGAGTTTTATGGTGAGAGATGGCACAGACCCTACCCCAGCCAAGCCCACTTCAGATATGGAGGTGTTTAAATTTGGGAATGCTGATCCTGGCATGAACAGCCCAGCGCTGATGGCCCCGGGGGTCTCAGGGAAGGGCTCCCCCACTCCCATCCTTCTATCACCCTGCCCCCTGATGGTGACCCCCCGAGAGCAGGGGGGCTGCAGAAACACCTTGATGTGTCTGAAAGTGCCCCAAAACCTAGTGCCACAGCAGGCTGGGATACCTCCCCCCCGCCCCCCACCTCCACTCCAAGGGACTTTAGGAAGGAGGTTTTTGAGTTAGTTCACCCAGAAAAAGGCTAACAGGGAGTTTCTTACTATTCAAATGTAAATGCCACTCACAGGTAACTCCCAACCAAGTCCTGTTTGACCAAGTAGCTGCATCCAGATCTTAGTCTGGTCTCAGCCTCTCCCTTTCCCCAGCACTGGATCCTCCCTGATTTAATACCAAACAAATTATCCAGCTGCTGCCCTGGATAGAAATTATCTCCCACTGCTCTCCAGGCCACCTGGGAGCACAGCGGGAGCACAGCCACACATGTGACACCTCTGACAGGCACAGGATGAAGGGTTGAACACTTCTTGGGCATTTTGTCACTGGTAAATGCTGCTGTCTTGAAATTGAAATATTCTAAAGGAGCACAGGGACCTTGACTGCATTTACACTGGGTATGTGCTCAGCCAGATCATGACAACACCTCCTTGCATTTTGACATCTGTGTTACAACTTTAATATCACACCACATATAGCTAATTTTCTGTTATAACACTTCAGACCAATAGAAGTACAGTGGTGTGATATT